GAGCGGCAGGTCTGTATGTGGGATCCGAACCCTCGGCGCGAGCGCCACTGCGCTCCCAAGCTGCGCACTGTAGCAGTGCGCCACCGGGCCGGCCCTAAACTGTCTCTTTTAAAATGACTTTTAATACGAAAAAAGTGTGTTGAGAAACTATTTTAAACTAAAATTTACCTGAATAGCTTGTCAAACCTAAAGCTTTCTGTCAATATCATGCTGAGAGAAAAGGAAGTTTTATTTCTCAATTTAGGGAAACTGTAAAGAATCATACCGGACTTTACTTTTCAAATTTAAATTAAAAAGACTCACTGCCTTATACATACTACTGAAAAAATAATTAATGCTGATCTCTGGGTTTCTATGTATTTTTTTTTTCACACAAAATTTCACAATGAACAACAGTCTTAACTTCTCACAATTTGGCTTTAGTAATATTTAACTATACACTGCCGACATTTTAATTGTAAAACTAGATTTATTGTCCCCCCACTCTCATCCCAAACCCTAGGCAATTCATCAGCTGCTTAGTCATAATGGTTGAGGATTGCGGCCCCTTTATTAGTCTTAAGAGTCAGCACAGTACAGGGTAATGACCTTAGATGAGGATAACATTATTGAAAAACATTTGCAAACACAGGAACTAACAAAGTCAGTGTTAGCAAACTTCGAAGTTCAATTTCATCCCTTTCATCTCCCTCATCCTCTGCATGAAATCATTCACTGAAGATTCTACTTCATAATAACTCAAGTATCTGCCCCAATCCTGGTCTTTACTATCTCACATCAGGATTGCTGCAGTAGGTCTATAACTTGGTTTCGTGTCTTTAATTTCTCTCAATTTCAATCCATCCTATAAATCCCGTGAAATTAATCCTCACAAAGAAACTGAGAGCTTCTCCCCAGGGAGATTCATTCTGTCCATGACATCACCTAGCATATTCAATCAATGCTCGTGGAAGAATTCACAGCCAAAACATCACTCCCAGGAAAAAGAAGTCTCCAATGGCTTCCCATTGCCTGTGTGATATTAAAGCCCCAGTTCCTGAGCTCAGTACTTAAAATTTTCAGGGAGCTGGTTTATTCCTTCCAATTTCCTATATCCAAGCAGTTGCTCATAAAATGTCTTGGCCATCTACTAAACACTAATCACTAGGCATACAGAAATAGCAGATACAATTACTTCTTGTCCCTAGGGAGAGTGATGTTCTATAAAGTCACTGCCAACACTAAATGAGCAAATACTTAACCACTGCTCCAAGGGGCAATACAAAGTTTTGTTTCTGTGAGCCTCTGGTCAGAACATTTTGGTCAACCAGTCTCTATATAACCTTGTTTTATGTGTGCTTCTGGTTCAAGACACCTTCTTTAATATATATTGTTGAAACATTACCATGGAACTTATGGCTAATGGCACTATAGCTCTCGCCTGAACCAAGCTTATCAAACACACATATTTTCTCTGTAAGGCATGTCACAGCCGTCTTGCACTGAGGAACACTGGACAGCACTTCAGGACTATGCTAAGGGATCATTTGAAACAGCAACCGAAAACAAAAAAATGAGAGAAACATGGCACTAAATAGACTGTTGGAAGAACACGTGTCTACAGTATGAGCGCCGAAACAGGAAGGCAGAGAGTCACCTTTTGTGCATGGGGCAACTCAAAATTTTCACTGCTCAGTACATGTCCACGAATGACTGACAGTGATGTGAGTATTGATTTGGGGGATACAAATAAAGCTGGAAACATGGCACTAAATAGACTGCTGGAAGAACACGTGTCTACAGTATGAGCGCCGAAACAGGAAGGCAGAGAGTCACCTTTTGTGCATGGGGCAACTCAAAATTTTCACTGCTCTGTACATGTCCACGAATGACTGACAGTGATGTGAGTATTGATTTGGGGGATACAAATAAAGCTTAGTGAGTATATACAGTGATGTGAGTATTGATTTGGGGGTTACAAATATAGCTTAGTGAGCTCATCAATATAAAATCTGAAAATATTAAGGACTGACTGTATTTTAATAGTCCTTCAGGAAACTACTGTCTAGTGAGACAGATAGACAGACCATAATAGTCTATTATAATAAGTACCCCATTAGATGGTGCATGGGATTCCACGTGAACACAGAGAGAAGACACTAGTTTACTCACAGACCACAGAAAGTCTTCTCCCGGCTATAAGCCTGTGCCCCTGCCATCTCCATCTTCTATTATAATAATCCATCATTTAAGGTCTATAACAAAACCACTTCCACAAATCCTCTGGCTTCCCCCTCCTCTAAGCTTCTTTTAAGTTTGTTCTCCCTTTTTCTAGCACTGATAAACACATTGCTTTGCCTTGTAGTCACGTGTGTTTGTTTATCTCCCCAATTACTGTGTAATCTCCTTGACAGCAGGAATCATATATTGCCCACCATGCTGAGGGCATGCTGCCAAAGCCAGTGAATATCGGTTAAAAGGATCTGAAACAAGACGGTCTTTGCTTACTCCTTTTTCGATGAATTAAAAATCCCTCCCCACACAAATACATTCATTTTTAAACTTTATACTTGCAAATTACATGTTCAAATTCTAAATCTAACTAGTAAAGTTTTCATTTGAAGTTGTCTCTATGTTGAAAGTGTACTTTCACATAATTTCTTTACAACTTTATTGCTTTTTGCATATACAATGACAAACTTATAGGTGGAATTAATTTACACCACTGTCTACTCCCTTTTGTATAGTCTTTTAATTTGATTAGCACCTTGCTCTGAATTCATTTCCAGCAGCAGAGGAAAAAAATTTCTTCCCATTTTTATATCAGTAGAATTTTACATAAATTTCTTGATATTATAAAAACAAAACTGAATTACAAGTTTTCAAAATCTTCAAATTTATCATGGAAATCATACTGCCTGGCTGGCAGAATAATAGCTCTAGAAAGATGAATATGTGATCATATTCTGGTTATTTTTTAAAAAAAACCAAACAAACCAAAATGATGCAGCCTCTTGTTATGTTTCTCCAAATCTTTTTTTATTTTAACATGTTATGAAGTCTGGCTGGCTCCCCTGCCCATTGAAGCCACATATAGGAACAAATGTGAACAGTTTGTGCCCATATTGTGGGCACACGTAAGTTTATAGGGTTTTTGTCTGGCAATACTAATATATTTTGAAAGCATAATTTTGCATGTTTCCTAAAAATCTCACAGTTATTTGCTGAAAATTATTTCAACAAATACTATTGTATAACAATGGCTCAACTTAAATGTGGTTAGCCTAAAAGAACGCGTCATTCTTAAACCACAACATTAAAAGTTGCAATGGAAATCTACAGGTTTTAAAACCAAGTTGGCAATTCAGTAAAAAGGGAAACAAATGTATGTCAGAATTAAAATGATCATCCCTGTGAAAAACTGATTAGGAAAGAATTTTACTCTTTTTAAAAAAAATCCTCAAAGCTTTTATGTTTCTGTCTCCATGTATTTTTCTAAAGAGGCTACAGGAGACCAATTTTGGAGAAAATATATGAATGTAACACCCTCTGGAAAGGTATGTCAAGAATGCCTTGGCCTTAGTAAAGCAGGATGATAATTTATCCTTTTACAGTTGGCATAAGCAATATGATTAGAATTGCTCTAGAAACTTCCTCAGCAGAAAAGTTATTCATTCATATAGTAAATATTAAGTGAGAGCCTATCGCATACCAGGCAT